GGGGGGGGGTTGTGGGTGGGGCCCGTGGGGGTGTGGGGTGGCCGGGTAATAGGGGTCGGGGGTGAGCGGTGGTGAGTGGGGGTGGGTATGCAGCTTTGGAGGTCGGAGGTGTGTTTGGGGTGAAAGTGTCGTTTTTGGGGAAATTGCGGCCCCCGAGGGAATGTGTTGGGGGGGGGGTATGGCGGCCAATTTTTTTTATTTTATTTTTTTCTGGTTTTAGTGTTCGGGCACGTAGGTACACGTGTCCGAAGCCCAACGCACGAATTTCGTTTTTTCGAATTCGACGCGACACCCCCGTTTTTGCGTTTAACGCGATTTAACGGGGGTCGGGGGGCCGTTAAACGGATGAACGCGCGTTCAATTTTTCGCGTTCTCCGTTAAAAAGATACACAGACAGAGGATGATGAATGTCCTTTGTGAACTTGAAGAGGGCCTGATACACAACTGGAAGATTTCCTTGATTGGCAGCTCGGGGACTCCCAGATGGGCGATTGCTGAGCGATTTAGGAGAAAGGGAGCGATCTGTGTGATAAGGGGGTAATATGCACATATGGGGTGTTGTTTGCGAGCGCTGCCACAAGTGGTTTGCAACAATTTTCAAAAGCATCTCCAAATTCGATAGCAAAGACAACTCATCAACAACGGGTATGACAAAGACATCCTATTCGACACCAACAATCTACACAACAACTCCAACAACAGCGATAAGCTTTGCAACTATATTAACAACGACAATGATATCTTTAACAGAAGCAACAACAACGATCTTCTTCACGACAACAACAACGCTTCTCACGACGACATCTGAACAACTTCCAGCAATAAGCTTGTCAACTATATCTACATCAACAGCGCCAACTGCGATGACGTCATCAACATCAACAATTTTTCCAATGACAACAACAACGATTCTGACGATGACATTTGAAATACAATTTTCAGCCATGATTGTCTTGCTCACTACGATCAACACAATCGGCGTCCAACCAAGATCTATCAATGGGTCAGCTACTAAGGTGAGGGCTATTCGATTTCTTCCCGCCCTCTCGCATGAAAATTCTTCCGTGTATGAGATAATGCTGATCTGGGGATGCGGTGACGGGTGGAAGGATGATGAGTTGTTCCCGTGGGATTCATGAGGAAGAAGAGAGGCTATGGTGAGGGGGTTTGGGAGGCAGGGGTGACTTCTTGGTTGTTTTCTCTTCTCCCCCCCCCCCCCCCCTTTTTTTTTTTCATCTGTGTTTGGTGAATTCTTCCTCTCTTGTGGTGCTTGAATTCAGTCTATCTCATGGGGCCATATTCAATCCTTGGTCATCACCAGTTAGGGTTTGACTTGGTTTGACGATCTTTAAGTATAGATTAAAATTTTCTTCCAATTAGTGTGTTCCCCTTTGGTTTGCGTCTGTGTTAACTACTGTTGTTTAGGGGAAGCTCGTCGTAATTACCGATGAACTACTAGACTTTCTGGCCCTGTTATCAATCTCTTTGCCTTATTTGTATCTCCCCTACTCCTCACCTTGCAAAAGATTGAAGTAGGGATAATTGAGGAGTCTCGTAGGGCAGAGATTGATTCTGCGCACAACGGGGTTAATCCTTCCTCATTGGGAAAGCAATCAATGCCCCGTGACTATGCTATATTCGTGTTATACAAGGAAGTTATCTCCAGGGGAGCAGTGGCTGAGGCTCTTCCAGCCCTAATGGGAAGAGGTGTGCGTATAAGTGTTGTAATCAATTTCATAATTGGAGCCTTGGGCACTGGGCCCTTTCTCAAAAAAACAAACAAAAAAAAAAAGAACAAAAATCATGGCGGTGTATCTTTCCGTGTTCGAGTGGAAGATTCACTCTCGTTTTGCACATTTCGAGAGTAGTGGAGCGAGACTCTCTCTCTCTCTCTCTCTCTCTCTCTCTCTCTCTCTCTCTCTCTCTCTCTCTCTCTCTCTCTCTCT